TACCCGGGCCTTTCTCCTATGGGAGAATGCTTTTTTTTTTTTTATGTTTTTAGAGACAGTTTCTCTGTGTAACTAGTCCTGGAACTAACTCCATAGACCAGGCTGGCCTCAAACTCACAGAGATCTGACTGCCTCCCCAAGAGCTGAGATTAAAGGCATGCACCACCACCACCACCACCTGATGGGAGAATGCTTTTTTATAGGTGGACCTCAAGCCCAAGCAGATGATGGCAGCCATATGGGACCCAGATATTCTGCATCCTTCTAAGCTGTCCAAACCCTGCACAATGGCATGGGAAACTTTATACAGCAGATTCTAGAGCCAGCCACCCTCTGTCTCCCTTCCCCCTCATCTCCAGTCCTGTGAGAGAAGCTTCTGAAGAAAGATTATAATGCCAGCAAGGTCATATTCAGGAAGACTGAACCATCCCCAAAGCAGTGAGGGGGCCTCAGGATAGGAAGATGGCAGGTCTTGGAGATATGTAAATAGAAAGAAGCAAGAGTGTCTGAGGAAAAGTTCCCGTGCACTATGAGGTACATTGGGTGGAAGCTTCCACAGATTCCTGAAGACCTACCTGCTGTTCTCCCCCCAAACCCCAAGCAAGGTTCATCACTGTCACATTTGCTATGGCTCTTAAAAATCCAGATGAGGGGGTCTCTGACCATGGTCCACAGTGTATGCTCAACCCTCAGGACAACCAGTGATAAATAGTGGCTGAACCCACCCCACTCCATTTAGTGGGATCTAATTGCTGGTTTGCAGAAAACAGCCCCTCACATATGTCTGCCCCTGTGGGGTTCATGCTGGGAAGAAGCCAAGCACAAACATCCTCTGCCACACAGTATGCTGAGCCTGCTGTCTATTCTCTGTGTGTCTGCCTCACCGCCCCCTCCCCAAACATGCATCATTGTCACACACACTATGCATGTCCCTTTCCCAGCTGAGGAGATGGCAGCACCTTTCCTACCAGGAAGACATCCCGGGATGGGACTCTGTACCTCTCAAGTGGTCGGTCCTTCTCTATGCCAGATGTTGAAGATCTAGTAGTCCCTCTCATTTCACATCTTGTGAGCATCCTAACCCTTACCTGCAGCTAAGAGGACACACCAAGGTTTGCCAGGAATGTTGACTAAGCTAGGAGCCTCCTCTGAGTCTAGAGAAACAGTTGGTATCTGATATGGTGAGACTGAAGTACCCAGAGAGTGGTCTGGGCAAATCATGGCACCCCCAGAAGCTGTTAAAGGACATCCCACGGGGAGAGAAGGGCCCTGGGGGAAGGGCTCCAAATACTTCCACTCCTCCACTCAGAGACAGTCACTGCTCCAGCCACTCTCCTTTCCAGAAAGCTAAGAGACACATTCTTGCATACAGGATGGCTCGAAGGGGGAAGGCAGCAAGAGAAGGCCCAAGAAGCGGGGATACCTGGAAAGATCATGCACCTTG